ATCACCAGTGTCTCCCCCACACCCAAGGCCATAGCCTGCTACTAACAAGTGCTCAGTAAAACGAATTTGAGGACTGAACTCTAATTTTTTGCTAAAAACTCTGTCCTAAGGAGGCCAGCAGGGTTAGGCTGACAAACAGTAAATTCCCACTAAGCGGCTTTTGTTAACCAAACGAAGCAGTGGTTTACTTCCTGACCTGATTCTGGTATGGCATTAACATCACCTAAAAGATAAGAAGCCCCTGTCTTAACTCAAGCATCCTAGCAGATGCCTATTCTTAAATTTAAACCATCTTAAAACATCCTAGCAGGCGCCTATTGTAAATTTAAAGTGTCCTCCTGTCTGGACCTCCCAGAGTGCTCATACCCTTATCTTAAAGTAAGCATATCCTTTCTGGTCTTCTAGATAAAGACTAACTCTCTCAGCCAATTGCCAGCCAAAGAATCTTTAAACCCACCTATAACCTGTAAGCCCCCGCTTCGAGATGTCCCACCTTTTTGGGCCAAACCAATGTATGCCTCTCATGTATTGATTTGTGACTTTGCCTGTAACCCCTGCCTCTCTGAAAATGTATAAAACTGAACTGTAACCCAGCCACAGCGAGTCCACTTGCCCAAGGCCTCTTGGCAGTGGCTCCGGGTCATGGTCCTCAAATTTGGCTCAGAATAAATCTCTTTAAAATTATTTTACAGAGTTTGGCTTTTTTCCGTCGACAATTTGAACCCTGATCTCTGCTGAACCAGTGTTGGGCATTTTTCGGGACAGAACTGTGAATGAGACAGCCCCAGGCCTACCCTCACAGGGCTCATAGTCCAAGAGAGGAAAAAAATAGGAACTGTTTGTTGAGTGAATAAATAAGCTAACTTTGAGATGGGCTTGGAAGACTTGACAAAAATTGTCGGGAGGGTAAGTCAGGCAGTGAAAACTGCTAGAACAAAGGCCAGGGGTGCTGGAAGACTTGAAGCGGCAGGAGGTCATGCAGGCAAGCAGGAGGTCATGCAGGCAAGGCCGGGGAGCTCAGCAAGGACCTTGAGAGCCACACAGGGGAGCCTGAGCTTTCTCCTAAGGCCACTGGGGAGGCCTTGGCAGCTTCTGAGCAGGGGAGGGACAGGATCAGGTTTGTGCACTGGCATGACCCGTCTGGGTGCCTATTCAGGGTTGAGGCTGGGGACAGGACCAAGTTCTAGAAGCCTGGAGAAAAATGCCTAGGCCAACCTGCTTTCCTGGGTGCTTGGAAAGGGCTTCAGGGCTCACCTTCCACCACCAGGGGGCAGCCAGGGGCTCCTACGGCTTCCAGTCTCTCTGCCCATCATACCAGGGTGGGATGTTTGCTCTAGGATTTGGAGGTGGGGGGGGGAGGCTGGAACTGTCCGCAGGGCCCCAGCTGAGAGCCCCTCTGCTCTCCCGCCCCCCATCCTGGCCTCTGGGCCCCTGGAGCCCCCACCTCAACCCAGCATGAGACTATGTCAACACCGCCCTGCCCAGCTTCTGGCCAGGACAATATTTGCCCTCAAGAGGGGAGGTCACTATGGAGACAGCAAACCCCCCCACCACCGCCCGGAAGAGGCCTAGGGGAGCTGCGTGTCTCTGCCTCATCTATGCTTGCATCTTTGAGAGAGCCTACCCCTGTCCTTATCTCTCCGGGCTCCAAGTTCCTCTCTCCGTTGGTCTCTGTCTCTCTCTTTCTATCTTTGTCTCTCTCTCTGCAGCCAAGAATCTCAGGGGGCCTCCCATTCCTGGCCTCAATCCCCCCAGGGTGCCCCCTCTCCCCATCTCTCTCTGCCTCATTTCTCCCGCACCATCTGCCGACACCCCAGGCCCCCGCCTGCTCCCCGCAGGCTCTGCTTGGCCAGGCAGCCCCATGGAGGGAGACACAGGCCTTCCAGCATCTTCCCCACCATGGCGCCCTGGGCGGGGGGCACTGCCTGATCATTGCTATCGTAGACTGGGGGACAAGCACCAGGAGACTTGGAATCAGGGGCAATGCATAAAGGGAAGCAGACAGACAGACACCCAGAAACAAGACAGCAAAAGAGAAAGGAGAAGTTCAAAGACAGGACAAAAGAGACTGACCCACAGGAAGAGAGGGACCAACAGAACCGAGCAGAGAGGCAGAATGGGACAAGGAGAGAAAGGAGAGATTTGATCAAAGACAGAGAAGGCAGGACAGAGAAAGACAGACAGACAACAGAGAGGGAAAGGCAGGGGGAGAGGAAGGGTGTGAGAGGGAGGGAGAGAGAGGCTAGCAGAGGCAGGAGAGGGGTGGGGCAGTGAGCATGCTAAATTTAGAGCCAGCGACAGAGAAGGGAAATGGAGATCCACCCCCTAGAGTGTTGAAAGGCTGGGAATGAGGTTCCTCTCTTTTTGGGTCCCCTGGGGTAGGGGTGGGTCATGGCACTTGGCTGCCAGGGAGAGACTGGGTAGCAAAGAGGAGGAGGAGAAAGAGGAGGAGGAGGAGGAGGAGGAAGGAGCAGGATGCTGCTCTGCCTGAAGTTTCCAGAAGTCCTGATCGTGGCAGCTAGAAGGAGCCTATGTGGGCCGGGCGCGGTGGCTCACGCCTGTAATCCTAGCACTCTGGGAGGCCGAGGCAGGCAGATTGCTCAAGGTCAGGAGTTCGAAACCAGCCTGAGCAAGAGCAAGACCCCGTCTCTACTATAAATAGAAAGAAATTAATTGGCCAACTAATATATATAGAAAAAATTAGCCGGGCATGGTAGCGCATGTCTGTGGTCCCAGCTACTAGGGAGGCTGAGGCAGCAGGATTGCTTGAGCCCAGGAGTTTGAGGTTGCTGTGAGCTAGGCTGATGCCACGGCACTCACTCTAGCCTGCGCAACAAAGTGAGACTCTGTCTCAAAAAAAAAAAAAAAGAGCCTATGTGGCCCGTGCATGACCCAGTTACCCCCATCCATCCTACACTCCGGGAGACTGTAGAAGACCCATGAGGGCTGGGGCACTGCATGAGGCCAAGCAGAGACCCCAGGCATCTACCTGCCTCTGTCTCCCCACTCCAGTCCTCCGGGCCACCCTCTGTGTCCCCCTAGAGGGGATATGAGGGAGGGGTGAGGAGTCATCACTCTCCTCTGGGCTGATCTCTCAGGCTCTCCCTCTCTTCAGCCCCAATTGCCATCTCTCAATCTGTCCCTGTCATCTCTCAGTTTGTATCTATTATCTCTCCCCTCTCCTCCCCCCTTCCCCTTTATCTGTATATCTCTTTGTCTGTCTGTGTGTTTCTCTCTATTTCTTTCTCTCTGTCTCTCTTAATCTGCTTCTCTCTTCTGCTCAGTCTCTCTCCCTCCCTGTCTTTCTCTGGTGGCCTCTCTCCTTCTTGGTTCTTGGTTTCTTTTCCGGTCTCCCACCACCTCACTCCTCTCTTCTGCTTCTCCCGCCCCAGCTCCCCAGCCTCTCTCTCCCCACTCCCTCCTCCCTCCCTTTCTCAGGGGAATGACCCCTAGGCCCTCTGGGGGCCAAGGAGGGACTCCCTCCCAATCCCAGCCTCTGCCAGAGGTGCCCGAAAACCTCAGACCTCTTCCCCACCCCATTCCTTGAACCGAGGAGGAGCCTTTCCCAGGACCCAGAGGGCGCCAGGAATGTGGGGCAGAGAGCAGGGAGGCCAGCCAGAGGCCGGGAGGCTGGGACCCCCCCTCCACGTCTCCCCCCATACTCGTTCCCTTCCAGCCTCTGCTGGGGACCTCACGCCACCACTTACTCCCTGCCTTCCTGGGGCCTCGATTTCTCCTCTGCAAAATGGGCAGACTCGCCTCTGTCCCACTTATCTTACAGTCCCAGGGGAGTGTGTGCTCACGAATGTTAATAGTGTGATTAATGTGCATGAATCAATGGTTTGTGTTAAGGGAGACGAGGGCGCTGGGAACTGGGGGACTGGGTGCTAAGCCTTCCTGGTCACGTATGTTCCCGTATTTAGGGCAGAGGATGAGCCTGGAAGTAGAGATTGTAAGAGTGCGTGTGACCCAGTGGCGCCTGACCATGAGACCCCTCGAGGCTACGGTTTCGTGTGGGACCATGGTGTTGTGCGCCTGTGTGACTGTGTGTGACCCTGGGCAACGGATTGTGTGTGTGACATGTGACACGTGTTCGAGTGTATGCAACTTGTGAGTGTGCATGGGGCTGTGAGGAGAGTGGTCTGTAGACCACTCGTCGGGTGTGACTGCATGTGTGCAGGTGACGGAATGTGTCTCAGGGACAGTTGGGGATGTGTGTTGTTGGAATGCGACTGTGGACTCCAGGTGCATGTGTGAAGTGTGTGAGTGTGTAAAAGTGTCGCTGGGGGTGGTTGCATAACATTGTGTGCGACTTTCAGCTTGTGTCATGAAGGGATTGTGTGACAGCATGAACAACCACGTAACTGTGGCCACGTTTTTCATGGACAATCATTCCTTAGGCCTGTGCTCTGGACAATGCCGGGGACCCGGTGGCAACCGAGAGATGCCCTGGCTCTGTCCTCCCAGGGCACACAGGCCAGGGGGGGTGACCGCGTTCGTGACCTGACCTACTGACTGTGTGTGTGATTGATAGTGTTCTAGGGACTGTGGGAAGCTGCGGTTGTGTTACTGTGTGTGCTACCCCGGCGTGTGGCTGCGTGTCCCTGTGGATGATTGTCAACCTGTGGGTGATTGTGGGATTGTACAACTGTGACTGAGCGTGTGAGTCTGTGTGACCGTGCCTGTCCGTGGCTCAGTGTGTGGGAGTGTGTGCAGCACCGCGTGAATGACTGAGTGGTTGAGGCTCTGTGTGTGAGTGGCGAGGTGGCACAGAGCGGTCTGTGACCAGGGGCTGCGGGTGGGACAGTGTGAGAGATTGTGCACACTTGGGGAGGGGTCGGTGGCTGCTCTCCCCGCAGACTGAGAGTCTGTGACATTCACACGCCTGCCCCTTGCTCTGCTCTGGCTCTGCCTCCAGCGCCCCCAGCTGTTCCCGGCCCGCCCTGGCCCCGCCCCCTCCCACCACCCAGGCTGCCAGCGCCTGTCACCTCTCCCAGAGCCCAGGCAAGGCATTGGAGGCAGCGGAGGCAGGGGCGGCAGGAACAGGTGATCAGGAGCAGGACTGGGGACAGGTGAGGGCTCCCACATCCCTGCCCCCTCCCCATCAACTCTCTGACGCTCTGTCACCATGTTTCTCAGCCTCTGGTCTCACCGCTTTCTGCCCCTCTGTGCCCACGGTCTATTCTCATCTCTGTCTGTCTCTTGGTGTCTCTGTCTCCATGTCTCAATCTCTGTTTAGCTTCTAGATCACTTCTACCTCTGTTTCCCCCATCTCTGTGTTGCTGTCTCCTCTTTGTCTCCTAGCCCACATTTCTGTCTCTGTCTTTCTCTGCCCTTTGCTGTCCGGTCTCTTGCTGTGTGTCTCCTTCCGTCGCTTAGTCTCTGTACTTCTGTCTCGCGTGTCTCTGACTCCGTGTCTGTCCTTCTGGGGCTTGGTCTGACCCTCCCTGCTCTCGCTTCCCTCTTTCTCTACGTGATGCCGCGGGGACAGGCGTGGGGCGGGGTGGGGGTTCGCTGGATTTCCAGGCATCTGGGGCCGTGCACACCTGCACCGGGGGTCTGGAGCCCCTCTAGTCCCCACATATTCGAATGCTGGGGGATGGCTGTCCCACTGCCTCTGGGCTTTATCCACAGCGGGGAAAGTTTTATAAGGTCCGGTTCCTACTCGCACTTTGAAAACCCTTTGGGCTCAGAGAGTGGGAACTCAGATGTGCGTTTCAAGCTCCCCTCCCGTCTAGGCTGATGGTTTCTACTCCTTCCTCTCAAAGGCGGTTCCCAGGTTCCCTAGACTTTCTAGGTCTAGACTCCGGGGGTGACAATGACGCCTCCCCCCTGCGCAGCTCTAGGGCAACCGCCTGCTCTGCAAACAGCCTCCCTTTCCGCCAGCCGCTGCCCCAGCAACAATTGGGGGCGGGGGGCGGGGAAGCACGCCGCTGATCTCAGCCCCGCCCACCCCTAGGCCCCACCCTCCCCCTTCCCCCCCCCCGCCCGCGCCCCAAATCATCCCTCGTGGGGGCAGCGGGAGCGCTGGGTTGGCGTCGCAGGGCGGAGGACAGCGGCGCTGACGCTGACTCTGCCTTGGGACCCGCAGGCCCTACTGCCCCTGCGGGACCGGAGCCGGGACCAGCGCCCTGGCAGCCCCCACGATGCCCAGCCCTCCGCCCCTGCGACGGCTGCTGCCGCTGCTGCCGCTGTGGGGGCTGCTGCTCCGGAGGGCGGAGGTGAGGACTGCAGGAGCCACCGGAGTTCAGGGCTTGGTGGGAGGTCGGGGGACGGTTTTAAGTCTCCCCCTGCCTCAAGGAGAGTTTTAAGACTGCCCCGCGGGCCCAGATTCAAGTTTTAAAGAATGTCCCGTCCTTCTTTCCCACACAAATCCCCCGATGACGTCCAGCCACACCCGCCCCGATGCTCCCGGGGGTTTTCGCTGCCTCACAGCAACTCCCTTGGTGGCTTCTAGGCACCCCCCAAGACTTCGAAGAGGTTTGCAAGACTCCCGAGCAAAGGGGACAGCTCCTCGAAGTCTCTCTGGGGTGCTCTGGCTCACACGAACCGAGCCGCCTGGGGCGGGGGCCGGTCTGGGGTCCTCCCTTCTGTCTCCTCGTAGGCAGGCTCTGAGGGGCGCACGGCCGGGGAGCTGTACGAGCGCTGGGAACGGTACCGCAGGGAGTGCCGGGAGAGCTTAGAGGCCGCGCAGCCACCCTCAGGTGTGACCAGGCGGGCAGGGGCGGGGCCTGCGGCTGGGGGCGGGGCTTGAGCGAGGAGGGATCTGTGATTGATAGGCCCTGGATCCGAGAGGTCCAGGGGGCGGGTTTGGCCTCCGTGGGCGGGGCCTAGGGCTGAGCGAGGTAGGGACTGGGACGGGACCACGATTGGTGGGAAGAAGCTGGAAACGGAAGAAGACTGGGCGGGGCCTGCATGGAGCGGACCTTGCAGGGGGCGGGGTTGGGGGTGGAGTCTGGGAAGAGCCTCTCGGGATGGGAAGAACCAGGGGTCGGACCTGCCGGTGGGAGGAGCCCAGAGTGGCGCTGGAGGGATGGGCGGGGCCTTGTGGACTGACGGGAGGAGCTTGTGGCGGAGCCAGGGTGGGCCCCGCCCCTGGTGGGCGGGGCCAGAGCAGGACGCGCGTGTCAGGTGGCGAGGCGCGGGGCCAGCATCTCAGTAGGTTCCCTCGGCGTCTGGCCCCATGCACATCCGCAGGCCTCGCTTGTAACGGGTCCTTCGATATGTACGTCTGCTGGGACTCTGCTGCACCCAACGCCACTGCCCGTGCCTCCTGCCCCTGGTACCTGCCCTGGCACCGCCACGGTGAGGTGCTCCCTGGACCCCAAGTCCTCCCCAGACACAAACAGCTCCTAACTTTTGTCCCCAGACACCGCTCCCTACGCAGCTCACCTACACCCCTCTCCTGCTCCTCTTTGTCCCCTGCTCCGTTCTCTCAGGCTGGGTTTCTCCGTCCGTCTGTCCAACCTTGGCTCACAAATAATGCTGCTTCTCTGTCTCCGTTTCTCTCTGTGGGACCACGGGGTCTTATTTTCGCTCCTTTTCCTGAGTCTGTCTGTCTCTGGATGTTTGGATCTTCCTGGCCCAACTAGCTATGTAGTCATGGACAGATTAACTGCTTTGTGCTTCAATTTTCCCATCTGTAGGCCTGTATGAATGTTAAATTAATTAATATATGTAAACGCTTTATAAGGGTTTATCATTACCAACATAATCATCACCTTGGCTCTCTCTGCCTTTGTCTCACAGTTCGTCCTTCTATCTTCCTCTGTCTCTCTGTGCCTCTGATCCCCTCCCTCCCTCCCTCTCTCATTTCCCCACAGTGGCTACAGGCTTCGTCCTCCGCCAGTGTGGCAGTGATGGCCAGTGGGGACCTTGGAGAGACCATACCCAGTGTGAGAACCCAGAGAAGAATGGGTCCTTTCAGGTAAGAAGAGGTGAGGGATTCAGGTTAGGATGTTTGGGGAGAGGAGAAAAGGCAGCAGCCTCGGGCTGAGCCTGCTCAGGACACTGGATTGCAAGATAGAAACCCAACTCAGCCTTGCGTACAGCAGAAAGAAAGATAAATGTATCGCCTTGGTTTGTTTTTTTTTTTTGTTGTTGTTTGTTTTGTTTTGAGACAGAGTCTCACTCTGCTGTCCGGGCTAGAGTGCCGGGGAGCCTAGCTCACAGCAACCTCAAACTCCTAGGCTCAAGCGATCCTCCTGCCTCAGCCTCCCAAGTAGCTGGGACTACAGGCATGCACCACCATGCCCGGCTAATTTTTTCTATATTTTTTAGTTGGCCAATTAATTTCTTTTTATTTTTAGTAGAGGCAGGGTCTGGCTCTTGCTCAGGCTCATCTGAGTGATCCACCCGCCTTGGCCTCCCAGAGTGCTAGGATTACTGGCATGAACCACTGAGCCTGGCCAATATATTGACTTGTTTGATTGAAAGTATAAGGCAACACCCGACGCAGGAGGATCGCTTGAGGTTGGGAATTCGAGACCAGCCTGAGCAAGAGCCAGGCTCTATCTCTACTAAAAATAGAAAAATTAGCCGGTCATTAGGGCACACACCTGTAGTCCCAGCTACTCCAGAGGCTGAGGCAGGAGGATCGCTTGAGCCCAAGAGTTTGAGGTTGCTGTGAGCTATGATGATGCCACTGCATTCTAGCTGGGGTGACAGAGCAAGACTGTTTCCAGAAAAAAAAAAGTATAAGGCAACAGCTTCAGCTTCAGGCATAGGGAGATCTAGGTGACCAAATGATGTGGTTAGGAATTTCTCTCTATCCCTCACCATGCTGTGCCTCTGTTTCTTCTGGACTGGTCTCAATTTTTGTGTGGGGTAGAAAAGGTGGTCTCCATTAGCATCACGCTCACATCCTCCCAATCAAGCCTCACTGTGGGAAGACTGACCTTTGTTCTCGATAACTCTCCCATAATGTCCCAGGATCGATGTGTACGTGTATGTGTGTGTGTGGGGGGGTCCTTAGGTAGAATGCTCTCGTTGGCTGGTCACATGCCTAGTCCTGGAGCTAGAGGATGGAGTCAGCCCCATTCAAACAAGGGTGGGTGGTTCCCAAGAGAAAATTAGGGTGCTGGGCAGACACAAGGAGCAGGTGTCCCTCCAGCCTCTCTCTGGGCCTGGGGGAAGAGCTGAGCCTTGTTCACAGGCCCTCGTTGTCCCCCACCAGGACCAGAAGCTGATCTTGGAGCGGCTACAGGTCGTGTATACCGTTGGCTACTCCCTGTCCCTTGCCACGCTGCTGCTAGCCCTGCTCATCTTGAGTTTCTTCAGGTGGGACCCCCAGTCCTGAGTGGTGGCAGCAGAGACATGGGCCTCAGTTTCTGGTCCAATAAGAGGGGGTGGTCACCTACTGCAAGCATCCACTGGTGCTTCTGTGGGAAGGGCTGGAGAGAGCTAAAGAGGGCTCTAGCCTGTCCTGGCTGAGGACAGGTCTCCGGAGGTCCCCAGACTGCCTCCCAAATCTCCCAGGCGGCTGCGCTGCACTCGAAACTACATCCACATCAACCTGTTCACGTCTTTCATGCTGCGGGCGGCAGCCATCCTCACCCGAGACCGGCTGCTACCTCCACCTGGCCCCTACCCTGGGGACCAGGCCCCTACTCTGTGGAACCAGGTGCGCACCCTCCTTCTGTCCCTCCAAAGGGGACTCTGCCTCCTCTGGTGGACCAGGAAGTTTTCAATCCACTTACTACCTCCTACACTATCAACAGTTTCTCTTGACCCCTCCAGACGCATTTGCAGGGACCTTCCCAACTCAGCCTCCCCCCTCGTTGAACTCTCCCAGCCCATCTCCCCTTTACTGGAATTTTCCATCCCCTCTTCCCTTTCTGTCTCATCCATCATTGATCTTTTCCAGCAATGAGAGAATCCACCTGCTGGAGGTGAGGTGGTGACAGGGTGGGTGACAAGATGGGAGAAACTAACTGGTTGGGGGTGGGGTGGGGATGTGGTAGGTAGCAATTTGTTACTGGGAGACAGGGCGGGAGAGACCAGCAGCTGGCAGCAGAAGTGGGAGGAACTATCTGGCTGCAAGTTGGGCCATACCAATTGTTAAGAAGTCATGGGGTGGGAAAGTCCACAGGCTGGCAGGAGAGTTCAGTTCTTAGAAGGAGCTGGGGTGGCAGAGGCCATATTTTGGGGGCCTAGGGTGAACTCTGATGGCATGATAGAAGATACAAATTGTTAAGGGGGTCAGGGTGGGAGAGTCCTATAGGGAAAGACAAAAGGTGAAAGAAAGCAACCACAGATCCCATGCCCTGGAGACACAGATGTGGGAGAACATTTGATGGCAAGAGACAGGGATGAAGGGTGTCAGGTAGGGGAAGGCTTGGGGACAAGCCAGCGGCCCTGACTGCCCCCTCCTCCTGTCTGGCCCTCCCTAGGCCCTAGCCGCCTGCCGCACCGCCCAGATCGTGACCCAGTACTGCGTGGGTGCCAACTACACGTGGCTGCTGGTGGAGGGTGTCTACCTGCACAGCCTCCTGGTGCTCATGGGGAGCTCCGAGGAGGGCTACTTCCGCTGCTACCTGCTCCTTGGCTGGGGTGAGCCCCGACCCCGTCCCCAACCCAGCCCCGCGCGCCGCGGCTCCCCCAGCTGCCCAGCGGTTGTTCTACCTCCGGGGTCTCCTCCAGCCTAGGCTTCTGCCTCCCCACCCTGACAGAGGAATTCCGCGGGTCTTGGGCCTGGCGGGGCCCGTGCGCGCGCGCTGACCGCTGCGGCGGGGTGGGGGGGCGGGGGTCGGGGTCTGCACAGGGGCCCCCACGCTTTTCGTCATTCCCTGGGTGATCGTCAGGTACCTGCACGAGAACACGCAGTGAGTTGCAGGGGCTGGGGCGGGGCTTGGGAGGTGGGCGGAGCTTTGAGGGACTTGGGCGGGTTGATGGAAACGTGGGCAGGGTCTGATGGCAACTCAGGGATGGGGGGATGTGGGCGGAGTCTAAAGGAATGGGGAGCTTGAAAAGGTGTTGGAGAACTACTGGCAAGGGAGGATGGGGTGGGGCCTTGCTCGTACCGGATGGGCGGGGCTTTAAGAAATGTGGGCGTGGTCTCAAGGAAGGTGGGCGGGGCCTGGCGAGTAAATGTGCAAGATCCAATGAGTCTACAGGTTTTCTGCGTCTTAGCACTATCCCACCCCTCACAGGTGCTGGGAGCGAAACGAAGTCAAGGCCATTTGGTGGATCATACGCACCCCCATTCTCATGACCATCTTGGTAGGGTTGGCTCTGCCTCCTCCAGACTGTCCTCAGGGATTTTCCATTCTGGGAAGTGGGGTACCATCTCCTGCCCTCCCCCACCAGAATGGGAGCTGCTGGTTCAACCACTATCTCTCCCCGCAGATTAATTTTCTCATCTTTATCCGCATTCTTGGAATCCTTTTGTCCAAGCTGAGGACACGGCAGATGCGCTGCCCGGACTACCGGCTGAGGTGGGGGCAGCCGGTGGGGACAGAGGGGAAAGGGCCAGGTGCGAGTTGGGGGACCGGGGACTGCAGATCCACTGCTGCCCTCTCTCCCCAGGTTGGCTCGCTCAACGCTGACGCTGGTGCCCCTGCTGGGTGTCCACGAGGTGGTGTTTGCTCCGTTGACAGAGGAACAGGCTAGGGGTGCCCTGCGCTTTGCCAAGATCGGCTTTGAGATCTTCCTAAGTTCCTTCCAGGTGCTCAGGCAGGGTACAGGAGCTGCACCCTTCCACCTAGGGCCCTCCTTCCTCCCCCCTCAAGTCATTAGGGTTACAGTCATAATCTGGCACAGCCGCTGAATGGGGTGTGAAGACGGGGTTCTGTTCATGCCACGCACGGTGCGAACGCGGGCCGTCTGCGTAGCCCAGGAGTACTGCCTCCTGGTGAGCAGTGAGGTTTTGACGCTGCTCACAGCTGGGGCCAAATGCAGCTGCTGTCACTTGCCAGCAGTGTTGTGGCTTTCACCTCAGGCTTGGGGCTAGAGAGAGGCAAATGAGGTGCCTAAGGCGCAGAATTTAAGGAGATGCTCATTCCCAAATTTAAAGCCAACCCTGCACTTGCTTGCTTGCACTGGTCCCCACCCTGCTTCACCTTGCTCGGCCTCAGTTTTCCCATCTGTAAAGTAGGGACAATACCAGTCTCACCTTACAAGCCTGTTCATTCATTAAATTCAGCAAAAAAAAAAAAAAAAAAATTGCTGAGCCCATACATGTACTAAGTACTCTTCCAGAATTATCCTGGGGATACGGCCAAGAGCCAAATGGCCCCCACACTCTAGCGGGACAGAAACTCTGGAGAGACACACTCAACCCACTACATAAGTGAAACACGCAGAGCATCAGGGGGTGAGAAGTGCCTAGAGAGGGGAGAAAATGAGAAAAGAGAGGTGAATGATGTCCAAGGAAGGGTGGGGTTGGTGTTTTAGACAGAGGGTCAGGGAAGGCCACCCTGAGAAGGATACACTGGAGCAGAGACCTGAGGAAGGTGAGGAGATAGGCCAGGCACAAGTTTAGGGAAAATGTTCCAGGAAGAGAAACACCGAGTGCAAGATCCCTGAGGCAGAAGAGTAGCCTGTGATGAAGGCCACGGTGCCTAAAGCATACAGGCCAGTAGGCATGGGGGAGGGGGAGGGAAGAGGAACAAGAGGTGGGGGCCCCGGGACCAGGTGAGGACTTAAGCTTTCTCCGTGTTCCAAGCAGGAGCCATGGGAAGGTTCTGGGCAGAGGGATGTGATCTGAGTCAGATTTTAACAGTTTCGTGGAAAGTAATACCAAGATTAGTGTCTTAATAATATTACCTATACATAATTTATTTCTATTAATTAATTATTAGTTATAAAATAGAAATACATTTTATATTTAAATTTAGATGTAGAACATATATAAATTTATGCAGATATAAAACTAATTGTTCATAATTAATGGTATATGATAAAATAAGATTAAGAAAAAAGTTCTATGTGCTAGGAACTATAACTTCTTGCATATTAATAATACCTCAATACTCACAACCACCACTGTATTACTGCTCTATTTTCCAGATGAAGAAACTGAGGCACAGAGGGTTTAGGCAGCTTGCCTAAGTGGGAAAGTGGGTAGAGGGTCCTACCTCCAGGACTCGGTTCTTTTTTTTTTTTTTGAGTCAAAGTCTCACTGTGTTGCCTGGGCTAGAGTGCTGTGGCATCAGCCTAGCTGACAGCAACCTCAAATTCCTAGGCTCAAGCAATCCTTCTGCCTCAGCCTCTTGAGCAGGTGGGACTACAGGCATGCGCCACCGTGCCCGGCTAATTTTTTCTATATATTTTTAGTTGGCCAATTAATTTCTATTTTTAGTAAGGACTGGGTCTCGCTCTTGCTCAGGCTGGTTTCGAACTCCTGACCTTGAGCAATCCTGCGGCCTCAGCCTCCCAGGGTGCTAGGATTACAGGCGTGAGCCTCCTCGCCGGCCAAGGGCTCCGTTCTTAAACCATCTCCCCCTACCACCGCCAGTGAGAAGGTGATCGCAATAGTCTAGGACCAAAGTGGCAGCAGCTTAGGTGTTTTGGGGACTGGCAAGGGTTCCAGCTCTTTAAGGGGGTGGTTACAATCCTGCTCCCACCCCGATTTAACCCCCGCGCCTCCTCTGGCAGGGCTTCCTGGTCAGCGTCCTCTACTGCTTCATCAACAAGGAGGTAGGTGCCCTGGCCCGCCACCCGCGCCCTCTGGCGGCCGCGCAGGGAACAGCGCCACCTCTGAGCGCCATCCCCTTACAGGTGCAGTCGGAGATCCGCCGTGCCTGGCACCACTGCCGCCTGCGCCACAGCCTTGGCGAGAAGCAGCGCCAGCTCCCGGAGGAGCGTGCCTCCCGGGCCCTGCCCTCGGGCGCCGGCCCGGGCGAGGTCCCCACTGGCCGCGCCTTGTCCTCAGGGATCCTCCCAGGGCATGGGGATGAGGCCAGCCGGGTATTGGAAAGTTACTGCTAGGTAGCGGGATTCCTGTGTCCGTTCAGTTAGCATGTATTTATTGAGTGCCTACTGTGTGCCAGGCCCAGTGTGGGGGACGCTGGGGAAATGGGGGAGAAGGAAACAGAAAACAAGGTTCCTGCCTCCCTGGAGATCACAATGGAGTGGGGGAAACAGATGAACACAAACATCAAGTTACACATATGCTGTGGAATGGCTTAGGAAGGGAAATTGGAAGGTGGTCTAGGTGGTCTGGGAGGCCATCTCTAGGAGGTGACACTTAAACCATACCTGAAAGAGGTGAAAGAGAGAACTTTGGTAAGAATTGGAGGATAAGATTCTAGGCAGAAGAAATAGCATATGCAAAGGCCCTGGGGCAGGAAGGAGCTTGGCCTTGGCTGGACTAGAGTAAGTCAAAGTCAATAGACACAGAGAAAGAAGTAGGCTGAGGCACAAGAGCTGAGATTTAATTCCAGATGCACTGAAGATTCTTAGCAGGACGGTCTCCAGCAAATGTTTTAAACAGATGCATTTGCCTATCCTGTGAAGCTGTGGTCCCCAACCCCTGCTCCCAGCCACCCCTCAGCAGGAGGTGAGTGGCCAGCTGAGTGAGGGAAGCTTTGTCTATATTTATAGCCACTCCCCATCATTCACCATCCCCTGCAAAACCAACCCCCAGTCCATGGAAAAATTGTCTTCCATGAAACCTGTCCCCAGTGCCAACACGGTCGGGGACTGCTGCTGTAGGGGAACAGATTGCCAGGGGCAGGAGTGGAGGACGGGAGCACAGTGAGGAGGGGGCTGCAGGCAGGAAGTGACAGTGGCTAGACCAGGATGGAGGCCACAAGGGGTGTGAAGCACTGGGATTCTGGAGATACTTTAAAGGTAGAGCAGCGAGGATCTTGCTATGGATCCCATGAGGAACGTGCCGCCAAGAGAGAAGTCAAGGAAGCCTGCTGGGTTTGGAATGGTGGAGAAAGACGGGGAAATTGGGTGCAGGGTGGGGGGAACTAAGAGTGCTCTTTGGACAGTTAAGCTGCCAATGCCTGTATAATACCCAAGGACAAGGGTCTGCAGTTCTCGCGAGAGGTTGAGAGCTGGAGCTGGACACGCGGGAGGCACTGGGATCCAGAGACAGGGACTTCATGTATAGATAGAACAGGCGTCTGAAGGTAGCCTTGGAGCTGAAACCTTCTACACAGAGTAGCCAGGACCACTGCTAACTGCGGAGTGAGGATGCCGGTCTCCTAAGATGGGCAGCCCCTGGGAACTGGGAGAATTACGGGGGGAAGCTGGTAGCCTCACTGTGGCTGGACCACCTGTACACGCAAGACCCCCACTCCTAAATCCTTCCCCCACATAAACACACACAGACTCAGTACCTGGCTGTTGTCACGTATTTTCCCTGGGCAGATGAGCCCATAGCTGAACTCAGCCTTTTCAAGCTCGTGACCCTACTCCCTCTCGCCACCTTGTGGGTTCTGCTGGGTTGGGGATTTTAGGGCAGGACCCTTGTAAATAAAGCATGAGAAAAAAAAGCACACTTGCTTTTTTCTTTCTGGAGTGGGAGAATCTTCTTGGCCAGGCCATAATGGGAAATGACTGGGTGGGGGCTGCATGCTTGGGTGGGGGCTTGTGGGGGCCTTGCTCAACTTCAGGCATGTGTTGCCACAAGAAAACAGGGACACCACGCTGCCACTGTCCCCCTGCCTAAGAGAATTCCCAATTGGCAATGTTACATGTAAAATTACAAGCCTGTGTGTGTGAGGGTAAGCACACCTGTCAAACTTTTTGAGGGCTGCTTCTCTAGAAGGGTAGTATAGGAATAGTACTGGTTCTTATCTTAGTTTGAACTAAGTTCAAAGTTGAATTGGCGTCTCAAGGTAGTCTTGTAGCTGAAACCTTCTATCCGGAGTAGCCAAGACCACTGCTAACTGCAGAGTGAGGACACAAGTCACCTAAGATGGGTGGCCCCTGGGAACTGGGAGAATTCAACTTTAGTTCAACTTAGTTCAAACTACACACAATACACAAGGCTTCCCTTTGCCACCTCAACTTCCCCACATTTGTCAGAGAATTCCTCTCAAGAGTAATTAAGCTGAATTTGAGGGGCAGCAGAACTTCAGGGTGAAGCCACAGGCTCAGGAGGGGGTGGGTTTGAATCACAGCATCACCACTTCCTGGCTGGGTGCCTCTGACCTTACCTCTGTGTGCCTCAGTGTCTTCTTCTGGAAAATGGAGGTAATAAATCAACAGGCCTGCTTCAGAGATATCAGGAGGATGTCTGAAAAGTGTTGAGTCTGGCGCCTGAACAGCTCAGGTGTTAGCCATGATCACTCGCAGTATTTGGGTACTGACTGCTTTCAATGCTTATCTACTCCTGTCCATGAGCGCAGGCCAGGGGCTCTCTTGGGCATGCCTGCGTCCCTGGCATTGCAACACAGGGATGGGAGCAGAGGGGGCACTTGGGGGACGTATGCTGATGGAAAAAATAATTAAAATAGAAGAAAGCTGAAACTTCCTGCAGCATCACAAATGAGAGATCATTTCAGCCCGACCTATTCAGTTTGCAGATGGGGAAAGGGAGGCCTGGGTGGGGCAGAGCTGGGCCCTCTTCACCTGCTCGGGCGTCCTGGTCCCAGTGTTCAGCCCTACACCCCACTGCCTTCCCTCCTTCCTGAGTCTGCCCTGCTCACGAGGCCCTGGAACAGACAGATATCACTAGAAAAAAAACACAGCTTTATTACTGCCATCACAAAGAGCAGCTGTTCACAGGACAGGGGACCAAGCTGTCGGCAGGAAGGCGCCCCTACTTGCCAGCGATAAGTGGGTTCCTCAGGACCACAATGACTGAGTCCCCGCGCAGGAACATCTTGGAGATGTAGCGGTCCTTGTTGACCGGCTTGGACTTCTTCTTCCCCTTGCCACTCTTGGGGACCTCAGTCCACATCTCCTTCACGTTCTCCAGCACCATGTTGCAGTGCCTGGTGGGGGGCAGGAAGGCCCGAGAGTGAGGGGAGATAATTCTGACTGCCTCCTCTGCCCGGTACTGCTGTCCCCTCCATAGCAAAGTCTGGGGAAGAGGGCAGGCCCTGGGCCAAGAGGGCCAGGCTTCCAATGCCACCTCTGCAAGTCCTTAGTTAAGGCTTGGGCAAAGGATTTCACCCCTCTGTACCTCAGTTTCCTCCTTTCTAAAACGGAGACTATCATGATACCTCCCTCATAGGGTTGTTGTGAAGATTAAATGAATTAATACAACATTTTGGTAAAGCACTCAGAACACAGCACAGGGTAAAGCCAAACAAAACGGTTCTGTTCATGCCTTTTAATGCTAAGTGTTTAGGCAGGCTGCAGCAAAGAGCTGCTTCTCTTTGGAGACCCAGCGGCTCCTAGGGTGCAGAGGGCTTCAGGTGGCACCTGAGGCCTCCACTCCAGTTCTGCTTTCTCCCTATCCTCAGGTGCCAGGTGGGCACATGTGATAACAGTAAGCATGAGCTCATTCAACAAACGCTTGCAGAGTATCTACTGTTAATGGTGAAGAAGTGTGGGGAGGCAAGGGAGATGAAGAAGGGATGGGAGATGTAGGACGGGCAGCTGTTGGAGGCTGCTGGGTTAACCAAGCCAAAGTGCATACATCTGATACAAATATTACTGCATGGTAAGAAAAAATGAAAACAATAAGGAAGCTCTCCATGCTTTGTATGGAATAACCTCCAGGAGATACTGTGAGGCAAAAAAGTGGAAAAGTATGTATGGAAAGTCATGTTTGTTTGTTTGTTTATTTATCTGTATATAGAGATGGGTTCTCGCTCTTGCTCAGGCTAGTCTTGAACTCCTGAGCTCAAGGGATCCTCCTGGCTCGGCCTCCCAGAGTGCTAGGATGACAAGTGTGACCCACTGCCCAGGCCTGGGAAGTCATGTTTATTTGTTTATTTTTGAGACAGAGTCTCACTTCTGTTGCCCTGGCTGAAGTGCCGTGGCATCAGCTTATCTCACAGCAACCTCAAACTCCTGGGCTCAAGCAATCCTCCTGCCTCAGCCTCCCGAGTAGCTGGGACTACAAGCATGCGCCACCATGCCCGGCTAATCGCCTCGGCCTCCCAGAGTGCTAGGATTACAGGCGTAAACCACCCTGGCTGGCTGGAAGTCATGGTTAGAAGGGAAAAAAGGGGATAGAAGAATCATACACACTGCCCATTTGCTCCTACAATACAGAATCTTTGAAAGATACCTGCAAAGTGGTGGCAGGAGGCTGGCCTAGGTAAACTGGAAACAGGCCTGATGGAGATTTTCACTAGACTATTATTGCTATTTTGGGAATCATGTGAATGTATTACAAGTTTCAGAAAAAAAATATTATAAAAAGAAAAGTAGCATACCAATATGGAAACATTTCCAAATTATATTGTTAAGTGAAAAAACCCAAGGCCTAGGTCAGTGTGGTGGCTCACGCCTATAATCCTAGCACTCTGGGAGGGTGATGTGGGTGGATTGAGCTCAGGAATTCAAGACCAGCCTGAGCAAGAGCGAGACACCGTCTCTACTAAAAATAGAAATTAGCTGGACAACTAAAAATATATATAGAAAAAATTAGCCGGGCATGGTGGCGCATGGCCGTAGTCCCAGCTACTTGGGAGGCTGAGGCATGAGGATCACTTGAGCCCAGGAGTTTGAGGTTGCTGTGAACTATGCTGACACCACAGCACTCTAGCTTGGGCAACAGAGTGAGACTGTCTCAAAAAACCCAAACAAAACAAAAACAAAAACCAAGGTCTAAAACTATGTGGCATGCCGTTAGCAGTAATTAAAAAAAGATCTCCTGGGGTTTGTGCAGTAGCTCAGGCCTGTAATCCTAGCACTTTGGGAGGCTGAGGAGGGAGGGTCGCTTGAGGCCAGGAGTTTGAGACCAGACGGAGCAAGTGAGACCACGTCTCTACAAAAAATAGAAAAAATTAGCCAGGCATGGTGGTGTGCATCTGTAGTCCCAGCTACTCGGGAGGCTGAGGCAGGAGGATCACTTTAGCCCAAGAGTTGAGGTTGCTGTGAGCTATGATGACACCATTACACTGTAGCCTGGGCAACAGAGTGAGACCCTGTGTCCAAAAAAAAAAAGGGTCGGGGGGTATTATGATGTACATTTTTCAGATAAGGAAACTGAAATCCAGGGATGAAAAATCACTTGCTGTTTGTTTATTCTGGCTGAAACACACAGATCCTAGCTTGCTCCTTCATCTTATTCAGGTTTGTTCACTGTTGCCTCTTCAGATAAAGCCCTTCTGATTGACTACTGCCAGTGAACAAACAAGACAGTCACTCACTCAAGGTCACCTGGATGCTAAGAGGCAGAGGTGGGACATGAACACAGGTGGACTGGCTCTCCCAAGAACAAGTCTATAACCACTGCACAGCACAGCTGGAGGGCCAATGAGACGGTCACACCTTGGGCTTTTAAGATGCTTACACCCCAGGCTTCTGGAGCTGGGGCTGCTTCTCCAGGGTTGGATAAAACACCTCCCGAGACCCTGCACTCACCTATCAAAGGCCTTCACACGGCCCAGGAGTTTCTTGTTATTGCGGCAATTGATAAGCACTTGAGTGTTGTTCTTGACCGACTGTGTGAGCACAGATAGTGGACCAGTGTTAAATTCTTCCTCCTCCCTCTTTTGTAGCTCCTCTGGGGTCATTTCACTCTTGGGCTTGTTGAGGAGGCTCCTGAATGGGAAAGTATGGAAACCTTAGGTGAGAGGGGTTGGGGTAGGGAGCATGGGTGGCCAGGACCTCACCCCCAGTAACTCCCCAACCTTGCTGCACACATCCATCCTCCTACTCAGTGTCCTCTTTTGGCATCACCACTTGGATGCCTAACAGACATTTTCAATTTTGCATGTCTCAGGTTGAGCTCCAGGTCGCCCAACCTACCCTATCCACAGTTTCCTCCGTTTCTATTGATAGTCCTCTTCCTCTCTCTCTTACATCCTTTAGCAAATCTGTCAGCAAATGGCCATTTCTTACCATGGCCCAAGCCTCCATCATCTCTCTCCTGGAGTCTTACTGATCTCCCTGCCTCCACCCATGTTCCCTGACAATCTCTTCTCCACATAACAGTCTGAAGAGTTGTGCTAAAACCTAAATCATATCAGGTCACTCTTCAAAATCCTTCCATGGCTGCCATCTCAGTGTAAAAGGTAAAACCCAAACTTTTTGCAATGCCCTACATCTGCCCCCTCTCTCACTCCCCTCCAGCCACAGTGGTGTTCTGGGTGGTCCTTGAAAAACCGAGGCAAACTTTCACCTTAGAGCCTCTGCATTTGATTTTTCCTTCTGCCCGAAAGTGTCAAATACCTGCATGGTTCACTTTCTTCAGGTCTTTGCTAAAGTGATGCCTTCCCCATGAGTCCTTCTGTGCTAGTTATTAAGTCATTGGCACTTCCCATTGTTTTCACCCTGCTCAACTGCTTCTTTAGTCACAGCCTTGATCACCCAACACACTATATACTTTATTATTCTATTTATTGCCTGTCTCCCTTCCCTCCCATAAGCTGTAGAAAGAGATTTTTTCCTTGGGGGCGGGTGGGTCTCATTTACTGATGTATCATGCCTGTCTAAAGCAGTGCCTGATACATGAACAATCAATGTATTAATAATATTTGCTGAAAGAATAAGTACGCAAAATCTTGCCAGCAACTTGTCACCCGTAAAAGTCGCGAATTAGATCGAAAAGACATCCGTTTCCCGCTGCAATTATCCTGATAAATCCCTTGCCTCATTATTCCTAAAAGTCCCTACTGCCCTCCTCCCAGGTTCTTTATTCGTAAAATCGCTTCCCTTTAATAATCATTTCAACGGGACTAATTATCTAGGAAAATCCCCAGCCCGTTATCTGATAAAGCTGTTCAGTCTCCAGAACTCATGATCCGTCAAAGGCCCCATGCTGGTTCCCAAACTCATCAGGAGATGAGGACACCACTTTATCCCTAAAATCTCCGCCTCCGTCCCTAGCTCTGCTCACCCCCTTCCACCGTTAATCGGCTAAATTTACACCCTCAACCGCACTCCCGCCGCCTAAGCCCGGCCCAGGCTCACATGGTGGTGGCTGTGTTCTCAGGTCACTCCTTTCTCCGCGTTGCTTTTCTGCTTCTGAGGAAAGAGAGCGCGAGACAGGCGGGACTTCCGCTTCCTGAGGCCCACTTCCGTGGGCGCCTGCGCAAACCTACCAGTAGGCGGGGGCGTGGCCTGTTGCCATAGTGATCCCCGCCCCTCCGAGAACAATGATGGGATAAAAGCCTCGAGTAGTGGTTCTAGGCCATTCAGGACCATACGACGCAGATGTCCACGACAATGGAGAGAAAAAGAGAGGGGGTTTGATTCAAACCATTTCGTTACAGAATGGTGTAAGTCAAAGGAGGAAAATGACACGCCATTTCCAAATGCCCGCCGAACCTGCCTTCGGGGGCGTGGCTTCCGCGAAGCCAATCCGCTCCTCGCTTCTGCTGTAGGCACCGCCCCTTGTCCACCCCAGGGACCGCTCATTGACGTGTCTATTGATCTTTCCGACCCGGCGCAACCAATCCCTTGCCTACATCCGGGATGGGCATGGACCTGTGCCCGAGAGGTCGAATGTTTTCCACGATCTCACGCTGCTCATTGGCTTTCCCTCCAAAGGCGGAGCCTACCCTTCTCGCGCTCCCTTTGGGGTGGGGCGTGCAATCCTCAGGGGAACAACCCTAAAACCCCAGGGAGGTTGGGGGGCGTGTCCTCAAGATCATAGTTACCATTGGTTTCAGTGCTCGCTAGGGGGTGGGATGGTGCCGTCGCTCTTGCTGCTCATTGGTCCCTTGATTCCATGGGGTGGAACTGGGCCCGGCCTTAACTCAATCCGCGGCCCCGGAGCGGTTTCTGGGCAGAGCTGCCATGCGTTCCGGGGGCCGCGGGCGGTCCCGGCTGCGACCCGGGGAACGTAGCCTCACGGGGGCACCCTCACCGCCGAAGCGCCGCCTTCTGGCGCGGGGGCAGCTCTTGCCCCTGCTGCTGCTGGCGCTGGCCGTGGGCTCGGCGTTCTACACCATCTGGAGCGGCTGGCACCGCAGGACTGAGGAGCTGCCGCCGGGCAGGGAGCTGCGGGTGAGGCCGGCAGGGACCCAGGCATCGCGGGAACCCTCATTCCCTCCTCTTCCCCGACGTCTGGGGTTGACGTGGCTTTATCGCACGGCCCTAGCCGCAGGTGCCACCGTCTCCGTCATTTGAGCGCATGCCCCTTACCAAAGGAATAAGGCTTCGGGCTTGTTCTGTGATAGCAGCTCTTCCTCAAGAGGAAGGGTCTGGAGTAATAAGACTGGGAGTTCGAGGTTCTAGCCTTAAGTCAGCTATTTGGAAGAGTCCCTTCTTCTCTCTCCTCTCTCTAACTGGGCCTCGATATCCCCATCACGATTGAGGTAGGCTGGACCAGGAATTCCTGAGTCCAGGAATTATCCTAAAAGTCCCCGATGCTAGAGGCCACAGATTACGAAGAGGAACCGGGGCTCCTTGGGGCCACGGCGCCCGGGGCAGGATCGGAATGGGGTTGCTCTCATTCTTCTCTTCCCCATCCCACCTTCCTCCCAAGGCCCCGTTAATCGGAAGCCTCCCTGAAACCCGGCTGCGGAAGGTGGTGAGACAACTGGACCCGCAGCGTCTCTGGGGCACTTATCTGCGCCCCCTGCTGGTTGTGCGAACCCCAGGCAGCCCCGGCAATCTGCAAGTCAGAAAGGTAAGGGCTCTACCTCCAATCCCTGACACCCCCAGCCTGCTAAGGAATGGGAGAGGCCCCTGCCAGTAACAAACCAACAGGCTGTACTGCCCACCTTACTGCCCTCGCCAAAAGCCTACTATGTGCTAGGAGCAAGCAACAAACAGTCATATGAGGTGCGTACCAATATGCTCTTCATTATGCGGATGGGGAAACTGAGGCTCAGAGAGGTTATATACTTTCCAGATCCTACAGCTAATGTTGTAAATGGTAGACCTGGGCATTGAACCTAAGCAGGTTGGTTCCAGAGCTGGTGCTGTATTGTTTCTATATTATATTACCTCCCTGAAAGCAATGAGTCATTTAAATACTGCTTGATTTCCAATTCTACTTCATCCTCTTAGACTGTGATCTTGGACTAGTTTGTTTGTTTGTTTGTTTCTTTTTTTTTTTTTTGAGACAGGGTTTCGCTCTGTCCTCTGGGCTAGAGTGCAGTGGAGTCATCATAGCTCAAACTCCTGGACTCGAGAAATCCTCCTGCCTCAGCCTCCTGAGTAGCTGGGAGGCAGGCAGGCAGGCACCATCACACCCAGCTAATTTTTCTGGTGTGAGTTTTTTGGTTTTTTTTTTTTTTTTTGGTAGAGACAGGGTCTCCCTCTTGCACAGGCTGGTCTCCAACTCCTGACCTCAAGCGATCCTCCTGCCTTAGCCTCCCAAAGTGCTAGGATTACAGGGATAAGCCACGGTGCCCAGCCCTGGACTAGTTTCTTAATCTCTCTGGGGCTCAGTTTCCTCATCTGCAAAAGGGGATCATTCATTGATAGTCCGTACCCTGTTGGGTCCCAAGAACAGAGCTTGGCACATAATGGGAGCTATTTAAGAGTAAGCTGTGGTTAGTGTTGTTGGCATCAAGACAATATCCAGCACCTAGTAGGTACTCAGCAGAAATGTATCAAGGGACTGATTTAAACTAGAGTGGGACTTGCAGGTGTACGGGACCGCTCTGCATGGCTCAGGTCACATGGCCCCTCTCCCCACCCCCTCCTCCTCCCCAGTCCCCGTCCACCCTCCCACCTCTCTCTTGCCACTAGTTCCTGGAGGCCACGCTGCGGGCCTTGCCAGCAGGCTGGCATGTGGAGCTGGATCCCTTCACAGCCTCGACACCTCTGGGGCCACTGGACTTTGGCAACGTGGTGGCCACGCTGGACCCAGGGGCTGCCCGTCACCTTACCCTCGCCTGCCATTATGACTCAAAGCTCTTCTCACCCCGGTCGGCCCCCTTTGTGGGGGCCACGGATTCAGCTGTGCCCTGTGCCCTGCTACTGGAGCTGGCCCAGGCCCTTGACCCAGAGCTGAGCAGGGCCAAGGAGCAGGTGAGGACAGGGGTGGGGGAAGGGGCGGTGGGCCAACTCCACTGTTTTTTTAAGCCACCACCCTCCTTTGCCTGGGCATTTGTCATCCTTCTCGTTTTCCCACCTCCACTCTAGGCACAGAGCCACAGCAATCTTTCTACCTCCCAAATGTCAGAGATTGTCAGATCCTGTCCTTCTGCCCCAAACTCTCCCAGGGCTCCCCCTTCATTCCAAGGGTAAGCCAGAGTCCTTATACCGGCCCATGAGGTGTGTCCTGTTACCTCTCTCATCTCGTCTCCCACTCCTCACCCTGGCTCACTCCACCCTAGCTACACGCACCTCCCTCTGTCCTCAAACCCACAAGGTTCACTCCTACCTCAGGGCATTTGCACTTGCTGCTTGCTCTGCAGAGACTGCTTTTATCAGATATCTTCTTAGCTGGTTCCTGTCCTTCATCCAAGTGTCCACTCCCATGTCACCTCTTCAAAGAGGCCTTCCCAACCACCCCAAAAATAACTCCTTGTCACTATCCCATGCTGTATGGTACATTCTGTTGATTTGTTTGCCTGTCTCCCAAACCAGAATAAGTTCCATGAAGGCAGGGACTTTTGTTTTCTGCTATATTCCCTGGACCCAGGATATTGCTTGGTATAAAGTAGGATGTCTAGGCCGGGCGAGGTGGCTCAGGCCTGTAATCCTAGCACTCTGGGAGGCCGAGACGGGAAGGATCGCTCAAGGTCAGGAGTTCGAAACCAGCCTGACCAAGAGCGAGACCTCCGTCTTTACTAAAAATAGAAACAAATCGATTGGCCAACTAAAAATATATAGAAAAAAGTAGCCGGGCATGGTGGTACGTGCCTGTAGTCCCAGCTACTCAAGAGGCTGAGGCAGAAGGATTGCTTGAGCCCAGGAGTTTGAGGTTGCTGTGAGCTAAGCCGACGCCACAGCACTCACTCTAGCCTGGGCAACAAAGCGAGACTCTGTCTCAAAAAAAAGAAAAAAGAAAAAGAAAATAATCAGAGCTAACCCTTGGTTAGTTATTATGTACCAGGAACTGTTTGAAGACCTGGATTCAAATCCTATCCTAAGGATAGAATCATTATTATATCCATTTATAGATAACAAAACTGATGCTTCGAGAAGTTAGTAGCTTTCCCACATCTGCTCGGCTATGAAGCAACTGAGTCTGGGTTTGATCCCAGGCAGTTTGGCTCCGAATCTGTGTCCTTGGCCACCATGTTCTGAGTGAGGACGTCTACTTTGTCCTGTTCGGCTGTGTAAGAAGGCAGGAAATGTGGGTGGGTTGAGGCTGAGGGCTGGCCCTGAGCTGGCCCTGGCCACCTGCTGCTCCCACAGGCAGCTCCAGTGACCCTGCAACTGCTCTTCTTGGACGGCGAAGAGGCGCTGAAGGAGTGGGGGCCCAAGGACTCCCTTTATGGCTCCCGGCACCTGGCCCAGCTCATGGAGTCCATGCCCCACAGTCCGGGCCCCACCAGGATCCAGGCTATTGTAAGATTGGGGTCCCACTGGGTTCCGGCAGGGGAGGGAGAAGGAGAAGCGGGGTGGGCAGTATCCCGCTGGCCCCTTCAGTCCTAGCCTCTTCCCCTAGGAGCTCTTTATGCTTCTCGATCTCCTGGGAGCCGCCAACCCGACCTTCTACAGTCACTTCCCTCGCACCCTCCGCTGGTTCCATCGGCTGAGGAGCATCGGTGAGGACAGAGAGAGAGGCGGGCTCCAGCCTGGGCTGCGGGAGGGAGAGCTGGAGAGGCCGGGCCCTCCCTCCAAAGGCCCATCCAGCCTTCCCCCCACCTTCCTAGTCTCCCTACAGCGCTAGAGCAGAAGCAAATTGATCCCACCACCGTAAAGGATAGTGATTACTGGCCGGGCGAGGTGGCTCACGCCTGTAATCCTAGCACTCTGGGGCGGGAGGATTGCTCAAGGTCAGGAGTTCGAAACCAGCCTGAGCAAGAGTGAGACCCCATCTCTACTATAAACAGAAATAAATTAATTGGCCAACTAATATATATAGAAAAAATTAGCCGGGCATGGTGGTGCATGCCTGTAGTCCCAGCTACTCAGTCTCTACTATAAATAGAAAAAAATTAATTGGCCAACAAATATATATAGAAAAAATCAGCCAGGCATGGTGGCGCATGCCTGTAGTCCCAGCTACTCGGGAGGCTGAGGCAGGAGGATCGCTTGAGCCCAGGAGTCTGAGGTTGCTGTGAGCTAGGCTGATGCTACGGGACTCACTCTAGCCTGGGCAACAAAGCGAGACTCTATCTCAAAAAAAAAAAAAAGGATAGTGATTACTACACAGGGGCTCTGTAGTGACACAGCCCTGGTCCCAAGTCCTGGCTCTACCTCTTACCAGCTTTGTGACTTTGGACAAGTGGCTTCATCGCTCTGAGCCTCAATTTCCTACATGTCAAATGAGCATGATGGTAATAATAACATCTACCTCCTAGACTTGGGGGGATTGAATGAGACCAGCAACATAGTAAGCCCACAGTGAGGAGTAACTGGCATTAATTCTTGTTGGGGTGACCACAGACCCTCCTCTGATTTGTGAGCCGAGGACCTTGGGCTGTTGAGGACTAACCCTTGCTCTCTAATCCCCACCACCTCCAGAGAGGCGTCTACACCGTTTGAACCTGCTGCAGTCGCATCCCCAGGAAGTGATGTACTTCCAACCCGGGGAGCCCCCTGGCTCTGTAGAAGATGACCACATCCCCTTCCTCCGCAGAGGTACTTAATGCAGGGAGGGGTGGAGGGTGGAGGTCCAAGGAAGCCATAAATTTGACTTGGCCCCCCATCCTTCCCAGGGCTGGGGACTGGTGGCAAGTTGCTTAACCTCTTTTGGCTTTGATTTTTTTCATCTTTAAAATGGGGACAATAGCTCTTATCTTAGAGTATTGTTGAGGGGACTGAATGCCCTAATACTTATAAATACCTTGGCTGGGTACAATGGCTCATACCTGTAGTTCCAGGACTTTGGGAGGCCAAGGCGAGAGGACTGCTTGAGCCCAGGAGTTTGAATCTAGCCTGGGCAACATAGCGAGACCCCATCTCTAAGTAAAGAAAGAAAGTAGGCCGGGTGCAGTGGCTCACGCCTGTAATCCTAGCACTCTGGGAGGCCAAGATGGGCAGATCGTTTGAGCTCAGGAGTTTGCGACCAGCCTGAGCAAAAGCGAGACCCTATCTCTACTAAAAATAGAAAGAAATTAGCTGGACAATTAAAAAAATATATAAAAAATTAGCTGGGCATGGTGGCACATGCCTGTAGTCCCAGCTACTTGGGAGGCTGAGGCAAGAGGATCACTTGAGTCCAGGAGTTTGAAGTTGCTGTGAGCTAGGCTGACACCACGGCACTCTAGCCCGGGCAAGAGTGAGACTCTGTCTCAAAAAAAAAAAAAAAAAAAACCGTAAAGAAAAAAATATTTTTCATTTGTAACCAACAGGGAAAAAAAATGACAAAAAAGTGTGTGGGGGGGGGGAGAAAAAATTTAATTTAAAAAAGTCAAAGAATATTTAAAAAAAACAACAAAAGAAAAATATCTAATCATATTTTAGGCTTTCTGAACCCAATCTTGGACCTCTGCATGATTTTTACAAAGTTGCCATATGATTTTGATATACAGCCAGGGTTGAAAACATCTGGGAGGGCCGGGCGCAGTGGCTCATGCCTGTAATCCTAACACTCTGGGAGGCCAAGGCGGGCAGATTGCTCAAGGTCAGGAGTTTGAAACCAGCCTCAGCAAGAGCGAGACCCCATCTCTACTATAAACAGAAAGAAATTAATTGGCCAACTAATATATATAGAAAAAATTAGCCGGGCATGGTGGCACACACCTGTAGTCCCAGCTACTCGGGAGGCTGAGGCAGGAGGATCGCTTGAGCCCAGGAGTTTGAGGTTACTGTGAGCTAGGCTGACGCCACAGCACTCACTCTAGCCTGGGCAACAAAGCAAGACTCTGTCTCAAAAAAAAAAAAAAAAGAAAACATCAGGGAGAAGTATTAAGAATGTAGGTTTTAGGTTGGGCAAGGTGGCTCACACCTGTAATCCTAGCACTCTGGGAGGCCAAGGCAGGCAGATGGCTCCAGGTCAGGAGGTCGAAACCAGCCTGAGCAAGAGTGAGACCCCGTCTCTATTAAAAACAAAAAGAAATTAATTGGCCAACTAAAAATATACAGAAAAAATTAGCCGGGCATGGTGGCACACACCTGTAGTCCCAGCTACTCGGGAGGCTGAGGCAGGAGGATCGCTTGAGCCCAGGAGTTTGAGGTTGCTATGAGCTAGGCTGACGCCACAGCTCTCTAGCCTGGGCAACAGAGTGAGACTCTGTCTCAAAACAAAACAAACAAAAACAAAGAATGTAGACCAAGACAGGTCTGGATTCTAGGATCTGCGGTTTACCACTGGCTGACCTAATTACTTGGCACATCATTTAGCCTTTCTGAGCCCCGTTTCTTCTGGAAAATGACAATACATATACATACAACCTTCATAATCACAGGTCCGTGATTATGAGATTAGGTCTATAAAATGCCTACTTACACAGTGCTTAGCATATAGTAAGAGCTAAGAACTGCTTTTAAAATTTGTACTCTATAATTTAGTCATTCAACAAATATGCATTCCTTACAATGGCCTGTTTATTGATCACTTTGCCTGCCTCTGTTTCCACTCTTGCCTGCCTCAGTTTCCACATCTGTAAATAGGGGGGTAAGTAAGTACCCCCTTACCTACCTTAAAGGATTTATTGTCAGGAGAAAATGGGGTGTGTTGAGCCCTAGATGAGGGCCTGGAATACAGCAAGTTATGCATAAGGGCAATTATTAAAGAGAAAAAGAGGCTAACGTACTTTGCAAGGAGGGTCAGGGACTCAAGGACATCTTCCTCATCTTTTGGTCTCTCCAAAATCCATTATTTTATTTATTTATTTTTTTTGAGACAGAGTCTCACTCTGTTGCCCAGGCTAGAGTGCTATGGCATCAGCCTAGCTCACAGCAACCTCAAACTCCTTAGCCTCCTGAGTAGCTGGGACTACAGACATGCACCACCATGCCTGGCTAATTTTTTCTATGTGTTTTCAGTTGGCCAATTAATTTCTTTCTATATTTTTTAGTAGAGTTGGTGTCTCTCTCTTGCTCTGGCTAGTTTTGAACTCCTGACCTTGAGCGATCCACCCACCTCGGCCTCCCAGAGTGCTAGGATTACAAGCGTGAGCCACCGCTCTCGGCCCAAAATCCATTAAGTTTTGAGTGTCTCTAATTTATGTAATGAAAACAATAGATATATTGCATTTTTTGTTAAACTAATATGTACTCTCACACACTTAAAATCAGGGTTCAGAGTTCTTAAAATGCCAAAACAGAGCCGGGCGAGGTGGCTCACGCCTGTAATCCTAGCACTCTGGGAGGCCGAGGCGGGAAGATTGTTTGAGGTCAGGAGTTCAAAACCAGCCTGAGCGAGACCCTGTCTCTACCAAAAATAGAAAGAAATTAATTGGCCAACTAATATATATAGAAAAAAAAAGTTAGCCAGGCATGGTGGCGCATGCCTGTAGTCCCAGCTACTTGGGAGGCTGAGGCAGGAGGATCGCTTGATCCCAGGAGTTTGAGGTTGCTGTGAGCTAGGCTGATGCCATGGCACTCACTCTAGACTGGGCAAGAAAGTGAGACTCTGTCTCAAAAAATAAATAAAAATTAAAAAAAAAAAAAACAGAGCATCTTCCCCCAGTGTATGCAGGGGAAACGGGGTTACCCAGAGCCTGGGCCTGGGCTCCTGGGTCAGTGGCTGGCCGCAGCGGGCCTGATGGAGTCTCCTCTCTCACCTTCAGGGGTCCCCGTGCTCCATCTCATCTCCACGCCCTTCCCCTCTGTCTGGCACACGCCTTCGGACACTGAGGCCAATCTCCACCCGCCCACGATATACAACCTGAGCCGCATCCTCGCCGTGTTCCTGGCTGAATACCTGGGGCTCTAGCCTGCTGGCCCGACGCCCAGGTGGACATTATTCTGAGGGAGAAGTGCCCAGCAGGGGACATGCTACGGGCAACTGCAGCCAGGGGAGCTCAGGCTGGCTCACCCCTGGCGTGCTGGCTTGACTTTTCCTGCCTTTGGCTCCTACTTGTGCTACAATTGAAGACTCTCTTTCCTTTGACTGTCTCAAGAGACCACTGTGGGGTGAGAGCTAAAGGAATAAGAACTTGGCCCTGCCCTGCCGTAAACACTCGGTCTGAAGGTCTTCAGGAGCCAAACGATGTTCTTCTGGTCACCAAACCATGGACTGGTGTCTGGAGCATCCAGACCATCCAACCAAATGAATTCTCTGTGGCTAACTTTTTTTTGTCTCCATTCATTCTACAGAATGGTAGCCTTGCTACTGCACCAGTCCTAACCTAACTCCCATGTGGGCTGACAGAGGATGTGCTCGTAAACAGAAACAGAGGAGATAGAAGCTGACACTTAGCAATCCTAGATTCTGCCAGACCCAAGGGGCAGTAAACCAGTGTTTCTGCAAAACATATTTTGCATAAGCTGGGCATGGTGGCGCACTCCTGTAGTCCCAGTGACTAGGGAGGCTGAGGCAAGAGGATCGCTTAAGCCCAGGAGTTTGAATACAACTTGAGCAACATAGCAAGAGCCCCTCTCAAAAACAAAACAAAACAAAACAAAAAACCCCCACCATACTCTGCAAAACTAGCAAGTAGGTATTACATGAAAAAGGTGGTCAGAAATCAAGCAGGTGAGATAACATTAAATGAGTTTCCTCACTGCACAATATGAATTTTCAAGAGAAGGTGGAGAATGCAGGGGTTCTAAAAGTATTTCACTATGGAACCCCTTTACTGGGAAACAGTTCATAGAACTAGGGTACCTTAGAAGATACTTTGGGAAACACTGGGTTTGAAAAGTTGGAGAACATTTATGATAGAAATGGTTAAGACAGATCTAGATTCACTGCAAAGTAGTTAGAGCATGCCATCTTTCTCGGTGGGTACAGCAGTGTGAGGTGGTGGATATAATCAGTGAGGAAGTAGTTCCCAACCCTACCTACTTTTCAGACTTATCTGGGGTGCTCATTAAAAGATAATAGACTCCCAGGTTCCACCCAGACCTCCTGGACCAGAATGCTTGGGAGCAGCTGGGACTCTTACAAATACTTGAGGGAGTCTCATGGCGAACAGAGTTTGGGACACTCTGTCCTTAAAGATACGCTTTGGTGCATACCCAGCTGCTCAGCAAACTTACTCAAAAGAATCCTTTTTTTTTTTTTAATTACAAAGTATTTGCAAATTATACATCTGGTTTTTTGTTTTGTTTTGTTTTTGAGGCAGGGTCTTGCTCTGTTGCCCAGGCTAGAGTGCTGTGGCATCAGCCTAGCTCACAGCAACCTCAAACTCCTGGGCTCAAGGGATCCTCCTGCCTCAGCCTCCCAAGTAGCTGGGACTACAGGTGTGTGCCACCATGCCCGGCTAATTTTTTCTATTTTTAGTAGAGACAGGGTCTCGCTCTTGCTCAGACTGGTCTGGAACTCCTGAGCTCAAGGGATCCTCCTGCCTCGGCCTCCTGCTAGGATTACACAGCCACCACGCCTGGCCTAGGAGGATCCTACGATGGAGGGAACCTAGAAGTCCTGTTCCAGGCTCTGTGTCTGCTGCTTTTGTGACTTACAGGGAGACTTGGCAGGCAGCAGGGATGCCAGGCCAGGATAGAGGTTATTAAATAGTGAAGGCGAGCGCTGGCCTTCCAGGCTGAAGCTCTGGGTATCAAATGAGAGAGGATAAACAGAAGGTCCTCGATTCAGGTTCTTCCATAGTCGCTAACATTTATCTGGTGTGTGCTGTGTGCCAGGCACACTTTACATATGTCAACTCATTTAGTCTCCCCCCAAATCTGGAGGTAGGTGACAACTTCAGTTCTCATTCTGCAGGGCATGTGGCTGAGACCTCCGTGCGAGCCAGTTGTTTACAGAGCCCAGATTCCCACCCACAGCTGTGCTCCCAACTGCATGTCCTACCTCCCTTCCAAAAAAACGCCTGTGCTGGTCAACAGTTTATTGACAAAAAGTAGCCTGAAGCTTTCAATTGGTTTATGCACATTTTTGGCTTGCATCTGGGGAAAGGATTATTAGACTCATTTTCCAGATGAGGCTGCAGGTGCCTGGCAAACTGATATTTCCCGGGGTCCCCAAGCAAGCTAGCAGGCCCCTCTGAAGTTCTTATTCATACTCCAAACCTGGGCTCCCCCAGGTTCACACTGTGAAGGAGCTATCAGTGTATTTGGTAAATAACAATTGTTGAGCATGCCTTACCTATTAATCTTTTGAACCGTTAGTGGTATTCTTTTTTCAGATTAAGAAACTGAGCTTTATAGAAATCAAGTGCCCAGGATCACAGAGCTGGGCACCTAGCCCTCAATGTGTCTAAGTGTACATTTCTTTTTATTTATCCTGCTTAGAACTCATTGGTGTCTGTTATCAGTTCGGAATTTTTATCCATCATGTCTTTAAATATTGTCTTTGCACTATTCTCTATTGATTCTGGGATGCCAATGAAATGTATGTTAGATCTTCTTACTCTAGCCTCCAAAACCTTTCATATTTTCTTGTTTTCGTTTCTGTGCTATTTTTCTGGTCCAGCTCTAGTTCAATCTTTCTTTAGCTATGTCTAAGCTGCTATTTAACCCAGCCATTGAGCATTTAGTTTTTAGTTATTGTATTTTCCATTTCTAGATTTTATTGGTGGGTTTTTTCTTTCCCATCTGCTAGGCCATTTTTTTTTTCTTTTTTACAATGTTGAGTTCCCTACTTATAATTCCAAGCTTTTCTTTTAAAAATGTTAAACATGGTTTAAAATAAATGTTGTATTATAATCTGTGATTGACAGTTTCACCACCTGAAGCCTCTGTGTTCTTGTTGCTTTAATCCCATGAGTGTTTGTGTATTACCCACTGCCTGACAAATTATTTGTGGGGATTCTAGATGACAAATCTTCCACCAGAAGATTTGTACCCGTTTCTGCCAGACGTCTCAGAAGTACCCTGCATCACACAGATGATATGAAGCTGGCTGCAAATGGCCACCAAGGGCCAGCCTATGACCAAAATTCTCAGGGTCAATTTTCTTTTCTGTCCTTTGATCTCTTGATCCCTTCAGCATTCTAAACATCTCTGCAATCTTCTGGCTTATCCTTACCTGAGCTCATAGTTCTCTGAGATCCCAGCTCTCATGAGGTTCTCCACCTTGGGCAGCTTTAGGGCCTACTTGTTTCAAAACAGATGCCAAATAGGAAATCCATGTTTGTCCACATAAGCAAATGCTCTCAGCGCAAAAAAAAAAAAAAAAAAAAAAAAAAAAGATATCTTCTTTTACAACCATTCATGTGGAATAAAAGATATCTTAATTTCCTTTTTTTTTTTTTTTGAGACAGAGTCTCATTTTGTTGCCCAGGCTAGAGTGAGTGCCGTGGCGTCAGCCTAGCTCACAGCAACCTCAATCTCCTGGCTCAAGTGATCCTCCTGCCTCAGCCTCCCAAGTAGCTGGGACTATAGGTTTTGTATATATATTTTTTAGTTGGTCAATTAATTTCTTTCTATTTTTAGTAGAGACGGGGTCTTGCTCAGGCTGGTTTCGAACTCCTGACCTCGGGCAATCCGCCCGCCTCGGCCTCCCAGAGTGCTAGGATTACAGGCGTGAGCCACCACGCCCGGCTTAATTTCCTTTTTATTTCATAAATTAAGTGAATATTGTAAAATGTTATTTACAGAGGATTTTTGGTAAAAGTGTTTTGTTGGGCATACTACACGTCCTAGACTCCCTTACAGCCATTCTGTCTGGCTGAGTTCTGACCACTGAGAATTATATAGAAGTAGAGTATGGCACTTATGGGAGGAAGGGGGCTTCCCTTCCAGCAAAATGGGAATGTTAGGAGATCTAGCCGTCACTCTGGACCATGAGGACAAGGGCCACAGTCAAAAGAATGATGGAACAGTCAGCTAGGAGGGGCTAGAGTCCTGATGACTTGAGGGCCATCATACTTGCCCAGTACTGGATTTTTAAAGAAATAAAAATGATCATGTTCAAGCTACTACTATTTTGAGACTTTTCAAATCCAAACTGACACAGATGAGAAGAGTTGAAAATAATCTCTGGCTAAGGGACTTGGCGAAGGATCCTTTCTCCTGCTACTTTTTCCATCCCACCACGCACAGGCCCACCAACAACTCTCTTCTCTCCCCAACCCCCTTCCCTTAACGACACACAAACCAGTCTGGGCCCAGCCTTATAAATATTGATTTTATAGAAAGGACCAATTGAAAATTGGTCAGATGCCACACGCTAGAAGCTTCCAGATCCACAATGATGAAAAAACAAAAAGAATCCAAAACAGAACAAACAAAATTACCCCAGACCAAACTGCCTGAAAATCAAGGTCCCAGTTGACCCAAAGATTCTAAAGAAACACAAGTGGCCGGGGGTGAGGAGACCCCAGGGCCTGAACAAGTACCCAGTACCCAGAGTGGAAGAAAAACAACCCAGAAATTCAAACCCACAGTCCCTGCCCACTGGCCCCCCACGCTGTCGAGAGCGAGGCAAAGGGCTTCACAGCTTTATTGGGGGGTGGGGAGGAGTGATGGCGATAGCTTAAATAATGGGAGGAGGGGGATTCTTATACTTCAATTATTTTTTTTGTCTCTTCCCCTATAGGGGAAAGACTGGTAGCTTGAGATTAATGACTTTTTACTTCTTTAATGGGGAAAACATTAAATGGCAGGCCGTCGTGAAAAAGTGCCACATTCAACCTGTGATCTGATGGCTCCCAATTCCTAAAGAGGAGGTGAGCCCTGGTGTGGAAGGTTAGGAGAGGCACCAACCTCGGGTGCTGTAGCCTCTTGGGAAAAATCGCTCCAGAGACCAAGGACTGGGGGAGACTGTGGAGGTGTGTATGGGGGGGCCAGAACGGGGGACCCCTTAAGTGGTACCAAGATTAGCTGCCGTCTGCTCCCTGCTGGTAGGTCCCTGGGGTGTAGAGGGTGGCAGGGAGGGAGTTGGGGCTGAATGAAGAAGAAATTGAGATGTTGATAAAAAATGCCCTACTGGAGGGTCCACGGCCCTGGGTCTGAAAGTAGGAAGCCAAGAGGGGGTCAGTCTGAGTGCCTTCTCAGGGGATCCCCCTGAATCCCCGCTCAGTTCTTGGGGGGCATCAATGTTGCCTGGACTGGGGTATGGGCTGGTGGCCCAGTCCTGGCCCTTGGCTCCCAGGGAAGGGGGGAGGGACGGGCATGGTGGGCTCTTCCCCCCCTCCCCCGGGTTCACCTCCCCTCCTCCCGGCCCCCC